CTGTACTACACCATCTCTTAGCAAACACAGGAGAGTTGGTTGTCAGGCCCTGCATTTCTGGAGTTTTATTTACTAAACTGCACACACTGGAAGGCATGTCTTTAATTTCTTTATAGCCATGCCTAGCACAGCATTGTTGCCTAATTGATGCCTAAAACATAGACGAGCGACAATATTTGAACTCACTGGGAGCCCTAGACAGCTCACCTTCCCATCTACCTCTTTAGTCATCTCTATCTCTTGTTCACAGCTGGATTTTTTAAGAGATGCCTCCACTCTCCATGTCAGCTTCCTCACATGCCATTCACTCCTCATCCACCGTCCCTGAGAAATGTTCCCTGCAAGAGAGGCAGTAACTTCTTCAGGAAACCCAGTGGGCACTACTCAGTTCATTTTATTTGTCTTTCCAATGTGCAACTCTTTGAAATCCTGTTTTCCCAGCTTCAGGACTCCAGTTTTCCTCCTACTTCTCTGGCTGCCCCTCCTTGGTTCCTTTTTATTTTTTCTTCCATTGCTCCTCAATAAGCATGGGTCCCCCAGGGTGCCAACGCGGACTGTCTTCTCCACTCCCTCTTTCCACTCTCCCTGGACAACCATGCTCCCCCTCATCTTCACATCTCTGCCCAGATCTCTCATCCAAGATTTAGACAGCGAACCTGAACTCAGTGGGATCCTGAAAAGCTGTCCTCCTTCCTGTGTCACATACAAGAACTAATGACACCCCTGTCACCCAGATGGAAGCCTCCTCCTTCTCTTTCACCACCACATTCAATCTAGCACCAATCCCTGCCAGGTCTACTCCATGGGAGTGTCTTTCATTATTTTCCTCTCTCTTTCACAACCACCACCTAATTTCAGGGCTCGGTCATTGTATCCTACAGTCACTTCAACAGCCACCAACTGCTCCTATTTCCTTCAGTGAGTCTTGCTTCCTTCAGTCCAACCTCCGTACTGCAGCTGCAAGAAGCTTTCAAAGACTGCAGACGCCATCACCACTTTTCTGCCTTCAATTCTCTTATGGAGGTCCTTGATCTGAACTCACATTACCATGGCTCAGAGGACTCAATGATCCAGCTCCTGCCTACCTTTCTGGCATCATTTCCTTCTACCCTCCACCCCACTTCTGTGTTCTATGCTCTGACTATATTAAAACAGATTGCAGTTCCTGTAGCCTGCCAGATTCTCCACCCCAGTATATCTTTGCACTCACTGTTCCCTTGCCTTGGAAAGGCTTCCCTGACCCGCCTCTGTTCTCCAAGATCCGATTCAGGTGCAATCTCCTGCCGGAAGACTTCCCTCCACACTCAGCCTGGTGAGGGGTTGTCCTCTGGGCTTCTACCCTGCCCACACTTCCCTTACTCATGGCACCTAGTGCCCTGCTCTATAATATCCATGCTCTGTCCCCTCGACTTGGAGGATCTGAAGGGCAGGCACTCTCACCTCTTTGTACTTGCATTCTGCTATGATATTTGATATATAGATGGGTGTGAAGGGGTCCTTGGGGGTGGATATGAACATGTAGATGACATAAATTAGAGTTAGGAAGGCTGTCTACTCACACTTCCCAACTCCATCCTCCAGGAATAGAAGTGGGACCATGCAAAATGGCTCCAAAGCCCAGTGCCAAGCAGAGTTCTGTGAGCTATCCGGGGAAAGCACACAGCACAGATGGAGACACAAAACAAATACAGTTTAATAACCAGCCACAATTTAAAAAAAAAATGGGTATGTCCAGGTTGACATGAAAAGAAACTCAGAAAGTGCTGGCTTCTATTTAAAGGGATCCACAGCTACATTCTAAAGGGATGCAGAGGACAGAGTTTTGATCCAACAACCTAAGTGTTCCAATGGGTACAACTTGCACTACTGCAGAGCAAGCCACAGGACCTCTGAGAAAAGGGAATCTCCTAAAGTCTATCTAATCACCTGTTGGACAAGAAAAAACAAACCTATGCTTAATTAGTTTGTTAAGAAAAGGAAGTGTTCAAAAATCATCACTGAAACTGTACTGAAGGCCTCAGAATTCACGAAACCAACTGATCACAACCAGAACAATGAAGACGATAATACAGAGTCCTAGTGGGTGCTATATACTGTGCTTCCGTCTCCCAGAACCCAGCGTTTCACATGACAGGTACCTGGACACCTCCTCTTTAGTCTGATACCAAGTTCCCTTCCTGAGCTCTAGTTTGTGAAAGTTTTTCAGAGGCAACTATTGAACACTTCCTGATGGAAGCTGATTCTGCTCTTTGTCTAATATAAAGATGTCTCTTTAGTGCCAAAATTGAGAGCTCCCTTCCCTTTCCCATTTTCTTCCCTTTCCTTTTCACATATTCTCCTCCTCCTGCTCAGGACACTACAGCTGTCCGGAAAAACTTTATTTCTATTGCATATGAGGGCCAATCTTATTTCCAATTCTTTGCATCTGTGGCTGCCTGTCCCTTCAAGGCTTTCCACAAGGAACTCTATGGAACCCTCAAGCCTCTGTTCAAATACTAGTACCCTAGAGACACACTGGCTAATTAGTTGCTCAACACTTGCCACCAACTCTCTCCATCCCATCACCCTATTGTGTTTCTGCAGGATAAGACATAGAGGGGATCAACCAGGCTTCCTGAAAATTTTCTGTGACCCCTTGCTCTAGTTTGGAAAGTTCCCCCAAGACCTATGTGTTTAAGGCTTTGTCCTCTGTCATGGTACTATTGTGGGATCTCCTGGGGAGTTTTAGGTCACTGGAGGTATACTTTCCTCAAACCATTGTTATTTGTGTCTGTAATAGTAGCCAATCTAGAAGCCAAATAATCTGAAACTATCACATTTATTTACTTATTGTATGCTGCTGTTCTCCATTACTTCTACAAAATGAGATCTAAGAAGGTAGAAACCTTTACCCTTGATCACCACCGTATCCCGAGAACTCAGAACTGTACTTGGTAGATAATAAGGACACATTAGACAAAAAATGTAATAAATATATGGTAAGTATTTGCAACAAGAATGAATAGATAAAAGCATGAGTGAGTCGCTGGTTCTCCTTGCTAACTCTCTGCCCAGGCTTTTCCTTGTCTATCCCTTTCTGTCCACCTCTCCCAGCTTGTGTGGCCCTGTTCCCAGGCTTCGCAATACCAGAGGTGTTGCATCTTGCCCACATACTCCCCTGGCCTGAACGTGGAAAACCAAGTTTTCTGGCTCAGGGGTTTGAACTTTTCCTTAGTGCTTTGTACACCCAGATGAGCTTGGAAAAGCCTTTTGACATAAGACCACACTTCAAAGAAAGTCACCTGGGATATCGGATAGCATCTGGTCCCTCTCTGGGTCACCACTACAGTGCTCAGTTTCTTCCCTTTCATGCTGAAATATCAAAACATGAAAAACAGGTGGTTACCAGCTATGCAATCTGTCGGATTTTTCTCTCACTTCCCAAGGATTCTGGTGTGATTTGAGGGCTGACTTGGGGTGACTTGAGGCTGTGAGTCTCAAAACACATCAGCCTTGGTTTAGACCCATGTTGTCAATAGAAAGTGGACCACAAATGTAAGCCATAGGTATAATTTTAAATGGTATGGTAGCCACATCAGATTTTAAAAGTTTATAGGTGGAACTTGAGGACATTATGTTAAGTGAAATAATAAAGACGAATACTGCATTTTCTCACTCATAGCGGAAGATTAAAAGAAAAAAAGTCAAACTCCTTCAAGAAGAAAGCACAACAGTGATTGCTAGAGGAAGGAGAGGGGAGGGGAAAGGGGACCGAGGGAGGATATGGAAGACCAAAACACAGTTAGATAGGAAGAATCCGTTCTAGTGTTCTACAGCAGAGTAGTTAGTTTACAACTTATATATTTAATAAAGAACTAGAAAAGAGGACTTCATAGACTCCAAACACAAAGAAAAATGTCTAACATCATAGAATTCTAATTACCCTGAATTGCTTACTGTATACATATACCAAATGATTACACTGTACCCCATAAACATGTATATTTATGTTAGTTAAAATTTTTGACTATATGTAATTTTTAAGTAAAAAGAAACCAGAGAAATTGATATTAATGATATATTTAATTCATGTTCAAAATATCATTTCAATATACAGTCATTATAAAAATTAACAAAATATTTACATTCTTTTTTATACTAGTTCTTTGAAATACCAGGTGGATTTTAAACTTACAGCATGTCTTAGTTCAAAATGACCATATTCTAAGTGGTTACTAGCCACAGGTGAGTTCAAAAGTATACTGGTTATATGAAAGTTCAAGTGCTTAAACGTGTCCTAAGTTTACATGCTCACTAGCCACATGTGGCTAGCAACTATGATATGGGACAGGGTAAGTCTAGAGCAAAAGGTATTGAATTAGACTGTGGCCAAGTTTTGTCCTGAGTCAATCCACATGACACTACTGCAGAGCAAGCCACCTTCATCTATAAAATGAAGCTAATTACATCTGCTTCCCAATTGTTATGGTTTAGGTATGAGTTAACCCCCCCAAAAGCTCATGTGTAAAACAACACAAAAATGTTCATAGGTGAAATGATTATATTATGAGAGCTGTAACCTAATCAGTGGATGAATTTGCTGATATGGATTAACTGGGTGGTAACTATAGTCAGGCAGGGTATGGCTAGAGAAAGTGGGTCCCTGGTGTGTGCCCTTGGGGTTTATGTTTTGTCCCTGGTGAACAGTGTTCTCTCTCTGAATCCTGGTTGTCATGTCCTGAGCCTCTTTCCTCCCCACACCCCTCTGCCATGATTTTCTTCCTATCTCAGACCCAGAGTTATGGAGTTGGCCGACCGTGGGTTGAACCTCTGAAACCTTGAGCCAAAATAAACTTTTCCTCGGCTTAGCTGTTCTTGTCGGGTACATTGGTCACAGCGACACAAAGCCAACTAAAACAATAATGTTTGGGGAAGGAATTAGAGAGCGAACATAAGTGAAAGTGTTAAATGTAAGATGATTTGATTTTTGTCAAAAAAAAAAAAAAGAAATTAGGCCAGGAAAAACATGATACTATATCCCATAAATATGTATAATTATTATTTGTCAATTTTTAAAAAGATTTTTTAAAAATTTAAAGTGGATTTCAGTATTCTCTCTACTATTCCTCTCCACTACTAAGTTATTCAGCAAAACAAGAAAAGGAGAAGGGGTACTCACCTTCTAGATCAACGGATGACTCCTATTTGACTGCTTATCTGTGATCCTTCTCAGACCTAGGAGGATTTTGGGCTGGGGCACTAGAGTGAAAGTGTTAAGCTACACTGTATTACAAACCAGTACGTAATGAATCTGGTACATCTCCTCTGCTCTCAGAGACTTTGACTATGAAATGAGTTGTCCTCACACTGAACTAACTCAAGAAGAGGGGGGCATTAGGCCCTGGCTTGAGCAAAAGATCAGAAAAACATAGGATTACTCTTGTTGTATAAATAAACATAACACTGCACATCCACAAACATTTTATGATTTGGTTTGGATATCAGATTTCATTAGCATTTTATTTTAGTATTTCTGTCTCAGTTATCAATTGATATATAACAAGTTATTCTGAAACAGTGTAAAATCATAAGCATTTATTACTTCATAGTTTCTGTAGGTCATGAATACAGGAGCATTCTGAGCTGATGGTTCTTCTTTAAGGTCTTTATCATACTGTGTCAAGGGGTTAGCCTGGCCTTCGGTCACCTGAAGGCTTTGTAGGGGCTGGAGGACCCGCTTCCAAGATGGTTCACCATTCACTTGGCTGTTGGAGGGAGGCCTCAGCTTCTCCTCACGTGGACCTCTCCATGGTACTGGTTGACTGTGCTTATGACTTCTCCTCCCAAGGCTTCTCCCAGAAGGAGCCATCCCAGAAACAAGGGGGAAGTCACCATGCCTCTCATGAGCTGGGCTCGCAGTCATACCCAACTCTTCCTGCAATATCCACTTGGTAACAGAGGTCAGCCCTGTTCACTAGGGAAAGTAACTATACAAAAGTATGAATACCAGGAGGCCAGGATTTGGTGATCATCTTGGAGGCTGACGGCCACAACTGCCAACTGATGATAGCCAAAAACAGGGTCTCTTAAGTATTATTTAAGCATGATTCATTCCGGGAAAGAGTTTCTGGTTCATTCCTAACACAAAAACATACACACATGAGATGTGTATCCTCACTCACTTCGAACACAGACCTTCCATGATGAGAGAAGGAGATCTAGATCTATCACGGCTCCTCAGGGCTCTTTCCCTGGACCCTAGAAATTGCCTTTGGTTGTCCCTTAAGTCCCTGTTCTTCCCTGGTCCTTCTCCTCCCTACCAGTTCATAGACCACAGAACAGAAGAAGACCTGGCTGCAGAGCTTGTGATTTGGTTTGCAACAGGATTGGTTTGATATTATGGTGAATTCTCAATGTGCAGCTGACTAGGTCTTTAGAAACAAGCAGAGCTGCCCTCCTACAAAGATGAGAGCCAATCAGCTGCACAAACACGACTCTGCTTTTTAAAACGACATGAACAGATGTGCTCTCTTAAGAAGAGATGACAGAGGCTGAAAAAGCAGAGGAATTGGGAGAGCTCAGCAAAGGAGTGACCCTCCAAAACTGATTCCCACATTATTAGAGCCAAATGTATTTTTTTTGCCCCTGAAGTTGGGGTTCCTTTCTCTTCTCATTCTTTTCATTCCCATTTTCTTTAAAAGGTCAACAAATCCTGGCATTCGTCCTTTGAAAGTTCTCTAACATCAGTTTTCTCCAGTCACCTATGACAGTCTGGCCTGGACCCTGGCTCTGCCTTACTGTCAATGGCCCTGACGGGCAGCTCACGCCGAGCACTGTGCAGATCCAGGTGCAGGGCTTAGGCAGCTACTACCACCACCACAGCTGTTCCCCTCAGATCTGCCCTTGGACATGGAAGACAGAGGCTATCCTCTAAATGGAGGGATTCTGGAGGCTCCAGAAAACACCTCTATGTCCGAATGTGTTCCCACCATAATGATTCCCCCATAATGTTTCCCCCAGGTGGATTTCCATCATTGTCCTCTGCCTGCCCCACCTCCATCCTGAAAATGTAGATTCTGCTGCAGTTAACAACACTTGAGAATGCAGTGGTTCTTAAACTTGACTGTGATTCAGCAAGTCTGGGTGTGAGACCTGGGCATCAGTGTGCTTCACTGACACCCACAGGATTGCTGGAGCATGCTCTGAGCAACACTGTCCTTAAGCAACAGTGTGACCTTGTTTCCCTAATTCTTTCCTCTCATGGTGGCTAAGAATGCAGACTGGTGGCAGATCAGGCTTCTCTGATAGTCTTGCCCAAGAACCAGACTCTAGGGCTCTGAGCATCAGGAGTCTGCATGCACACACACACACACACACACACACACACACACACACACACACACACACATGCATGACCACACTTCACACCTGCACACACACACACACACATACACAGGCACAGCTGCTGAATACACTGTCCCCACAGTGCCTGGCCTGACTCCAGACCACCAGGCTGTCTCTTGGGCCCCAAACCCTTAAAAACTACCAGGCAGATCGCCGCTTTCATCCTCCCACAGACAAAAGCACAGCTCAGAAACAGGCAGCAAATTCCTGCCCGAGGATACATATCTCTGGGCTGATTAAATAAACAGGGCTTAATTAAATTAAAGCAGGATCAGAATCTGCCTAAACTCTGCTGGCAGCCCAGCACCGTCCCTCATGAATCTTTCATTTTCATAAATGAGTGATTGCCTGTCTGCTATGGGGCTTGCCCTAAAGGAAGAGGGGCCTCAGGGTAGAAACAGCTCCTCTGTTCCAAAGGAAGTGGTAACGGGGTATTTTTATTCAGGGGACTTTGAAAGCTTTTTGTGCGCTTTTTGAGGGAATAAACTTCCCATTCTGTTGCTGAGCACAGGATGGATATAACAGGCTACTGTCTTAAACCCAGAGGGCTGTGAGAACTTGGGGACAGCCGACCAAAAATATGGTAGAGACAGAGACACATACAGACAGAGAGACAGGACCCTGAGAAAGCAGAAAATTCAGCCACAGTTGAGAGCATCACAAATATGCCTCGGGAATTCCAAGAGACAGATTCTGAATGGTGTTGGTGGCTGCCAGGAGTCAAGAAGGAGGGGGAAAAGCACCTGTTTTAAATCTTCTCAAAGGAGGAGCCCAGAGGAAATAATGAAAAAAGCAACTGTGTAAACCTGCTAAGGCAGATAGGATTCCTCTGTGCAGGGGGGTCAAGTCCAGCTGCCTTCTAGAGGCACAGCCAGAGGCCTGTGGGAAAGGGCTGCTCAGCATGCAGAGGGCCAGCAGGCTGCTGTGCTTCCTAAGAGCTCCGTATGTTACTGCTGAGTGACCCACCTGGGCTGCAGAGGAGGCAGTGAGGGGACATTACATCAGGAATGGAACTGAACTGTGGGAAGCAGCCTGGTTCTGTCCCTGATGTGCAAAAGTCAATGACACAACTTGGGGGTCTCTCTCCAGGGATGTGCTTCTACAGCCCTACCAGTCTCTTACAGCAGGCTGGGAAGGGAAGGACAAAGAGGTGACATGCCCAGTGTGCAAGCTCCAGCAGAAAGTCTTTGAGAAAGGAAGTCGAAACTCATGGGCAAGCTGTGGCTTTCATGTATCCACATTGCTTGTTGCTTCCATGAGTTCAGAAATGTGAGAGGGGGCCTGTGCAATCTGTCACTGTCCTCTGTGGGTGCCACTGACACTGCTGACGACATTATTTTCTGCCTCAAACTTCCCCTCATCAGAAGGACTTTTGCTTAAGTTTCTAACAGACCTGATGTCTTCTATCACCTGATACACTCTTTGAGCCCCACACTGGCGATCGCTCAGCTCCTTGCACTACCAACACAGGCTCTCAGCATCAGCTGAGTAGACTGCTGTTCCTGTATCCTACTCACCTGCTTCCTCCTCCAAGCCCTAACCTGGGATACCTCTCCATCGTTCTTTGACAAGCAGTAGAGATGTCTTCTTGTCCTTCTGATCAAGAGCTCTAGCCAGTGGCCCCAGGATCATGTTGGACCAAATGACAAAGAGAATTATAGAACATGGGGACTGCATGGTCTAGAGAAGCTGTCATGTGTCATGGCTGGCTGTGTACTTTTGAGCACATTAAAGAGGCATTTTAAAAAACCAAAGGACCTAGGGCTTCTAGTCTAAAGTGACTCCACTCTCAGGTTTATCTCTTCTGTCTACAGAGAATCCAAGAGAGACACATCAGATTATTTAGGATTTCAGTGTCTTGTAACACACAAAGCAGATGGAGGAGCGTGAAGGAGGAGCTGAGCAGAGGAGACTGGAAAGGAAGGAAAAAACATAGAGGGCAAGTGTGAGAAATGAGGGTGCAGCAGGGTCACCATCTGTATATAGAACCACCTCCCGACATTTCCCTCTCACAGCCCAGCTTACAAAACACCTGGCCGCCAGGTACTTACATTCAACTCTGAGGGAGGAAGAGTCCCAGAATAAAGCTGAAACTCTGTCAGTACAATAAATGCGAGTGGGTTTTTTAGGAGGAACGAGGGCACACTGTGTGGGACGATTGTTTGCCACACACAACTCTTCTCTGAGCTTCAGAGGCTCTCCAGAAGAAGGAATGGCTGCATCTTCCTATCCAAGATCAGCAGGCTGTTGAGAGAAGCCCAAATGTGAAATGGAAAGACGGAGAGGAACAAAAGAAGGAAAATTAATCTTGGAGAAAAAAATAAACAGAAATAAATTAAAATTATAAAAACTCTAAATAGTCCTTCCAGGGACATATGAAAAGACTCTTCATCCACAAAACAACAACACAGAAAACAGACCATTAGAGATGAAAGAAAAATCCTTGAGAAGTAAGTAAGGCTATCACTGCTAAAAAAAAAAAAAAAAATTCAAAGTTAATAAAAGAGTGGAAAATTAAATTCTCAAAAATATACCAGGATATAGAACATTAAGATGAAGATATAAAAAAAAAGTGAGAGAAAAGCTACATAGGGAACAAATTCAATTAATAGAATTCCCAGAAAGAGGCAATAGCGGACAGGAAAGATGTCAATATGCTTCCCAGAGATGTAGGTGTTCAGGTAGAAATGGAAATTTCGCTTGAGGTTTGGAATAGTCCATTTTAAGACGCGCCTTCTGCTTAATCACATCATTGTGACATTTTGGAACACAAAGTACCAAAATAAATTCCTAAATGCATCAGAAAAAAAAAGAGGTCTTTGGTTATAAAAATATAGACACGCACACAGAGTTTCCAACTTAACTATGGTTCAGCAGGATTTTTCAAGTTGATGATATGAAAAGAATAATTTTAAGTATACTTTGAATTTTGAATCTGAATCCATACAACCATTCTGCTTTAGACTCTCAGTACATTATTCAATAAGTTAGAAGATCTATTAAACACTTTATAAGACAGACTATGTGTTAGATGATTTTGTTCAACCATAGGATAATGTAAGTGTTCTGAAAACACCTAAGGTAGGCTAGGCTAAACTGGACATTCCATAGATTAGGAGAAGTAAGTGCATTTTCAACTTATGATATTTTCATCTTTTGATAGGTTTGTCAGGATGTAACCCCACTGTAAGACAAAAATAATCTGTATACATAAAAACCTTAATTTAGCTTACACTAACAGAAACATGCTGGATGGGTATTGAGTAACCACCTATTGAAAGAAAAGCTGTGAAAGGAAGCTCAGGAAATAGGCAGAAACAGAGAGAGTTGGAGGAACAAGAATGGAACCAATGTCATGCCACAGGAATAGCCTGGCTCAGGTAGAGTTGTCACTGTCAACGCACCCTGCCTATGAAGTCCAAGATCACCACCAGTACGCCACATTTGAACTCTGAATTCTACTTCAACCCCCAGCAAAATACATTTTTGCACCACTTATTTCAGATTCAGAGCCCCAAATGGGGGCATCTGATTGGCTTAAGTTAGGCAGCGGCAAATACTCTAGTTTTTGTAAGTCAGAGAGAAACTATCTGACTTTCTGCATAGAGTTTGGAATTCCACCTCCCACCAAGACTCACTCAGAGGTGGATTCTTGCAGCCTCAGATGCCAAGCCATCAATAATACCAAAGTAATAAATCTTTACTACAGTCCCCCGCTCTGACTCCTCACCATCTTTATAGGTACCACTCTCCATGTTTACAATTTCAAAACTTGTGTTCAAATGTTTATATCTACCATGTGCAAGTAATTGACACTCATTTCCTTAGTAAAACCAGTCTCAAGAGTTGGTGAACACAGGGACTGGGGTTGTGGCTCAGTAGTAGAGCACTTTCCAAGCATGTGTGAGGCACTGGATTTGATTCTCAGCACCATCTAAAAAGAAAGAAAGAAAATAAAGGTATTATGTCCATCTACAACTAAAAATTTAAAAAAGAAAATGGGTGTACCCAGAAGCAATCCAAGAATTTCTAGATGATATCCATTTTTCCTCAGCTGTATCTCAGTCCCATACTGATTTTTGCAATTTTACAAGCTAACATATCCTATATACAACAATAAAAAAGGTAGGAAAGTAATATCTGTATGTCTATATCTAGATATAGATATATAGATATGTATCACAGCAAGAAAAGAAATTTGAGTAAATATTGTAGTCTTCTTTTTCCTCAGCTTGTAATGGTAGCAAACATATTATAGATAATAAAAAGAAATCTAAACCAAATATATTTAATCAAATATATTTGTTCTACAGAAATATGAGAACTGCCCTCCATATAATAAAAGCAATTCAAAGCAGACAACCTGCCACAGGCTAACCGTTTTCAGGTACTGTATTAGAGTTTCACAATGTCAAACTGGGCATTGCGAAGTGGTCACCTTTGTGAATAAAAGTGCATCAATTTATCTGATCATTAAGAACTCCCTTTGGCCAGGGTACATGCCTATAATCCCAGCTACTCTGGAGGCTGAAGCAGGAGGATTACAAATTTGTGGCTAGCCTCAGCAACTTCGCAAGATCCTAAGCAACTTAGTGAGAACTGTCTCAAACTATAAAGGACTGAGGATTGAGCTCAGTGGAAGAACACTCCTGGGTTCAATCATGGTGAGCAGCCTTTTGGAACACAAATATTCTCTCACATTTTGTTCATTCGGGGAAGCCAGCGTATAGGACTCTTCTCCAAACCTCCTGCCTCTGTCTTCTGGTAGTGCTCCTTTCAGATCCCTAAACCTAGGCCAACTCCCCTGACGCAGTGCACCTGAACCTTCTTTTCTCAGGTTGCTCTCTCTCCATGAAGTACTGCTCAAAACTGCCTGTCAGGAGAATCTGTCTTCCACGAGGTCCTTTGGGTACGTAAGTGAAACCTCTGCACCAGCCTATTTCTGTTCAATGCAGAGCATTGGGCCCTGTTTGATTTGGTAGAAAATGGCAGAAAGACTTCTACCATTTTTCAGTTTCATTTCTGAGCATCAGAAACATGATATCCTTTTAAAGATATGTTACATCTATATCTATAAATATATTTTATCTATAGTATATTTGTAGATGCTCAGGGAGAGGCCTTAGAGTGCACCTGGCCTGGCCATGCCCTGACCATTATTTCCTTTAAGGCCACACACAGCCCTCAGTTAAGGCCATTCACATGAGGCACCCATGACTGGCCAACTAGCTGGCCATAATATCCTCAACAGGGGAATATTTGAGACCCCCGATGTTTCAGGTCCCACAGGCCCAGGTGTTTATTATATTATTTTAAAATCTTACATTTTATCATGTTGGATTTTCCAGGAAGCATATCTGAGAAGGAAATTAATGGCTACAGGGTCTGTCAGAAAAATGCTCTTGAAATAAACACTTTTGAAAGGGAAGAGAAAGATACAGCACTGGGCCAGAAGAAAATCAGGACTGTGATGTTGAATCAGTGAAGACTGTAGGGACCCTGGTGGAAAGTCGGATGCTGAGATGGCTACTCAAGGCTGTCTTCAGCTGGACCAAAGGGCACCTGGGCTTCAACACTGAGTTTTCCCTGTCAATACTTGGCCTATATTTAGATTTCACAAAGTAGTTTAAAAAGTAGGTCCAAGTCACATACTCACATTACTACAAACATACTTCCAAGTTTTACAACAACTAAATTTTATCAACTTTTAAATTTAAATCAAGGAAAATTAAATCAAATTAGAAGTTCATTTCCTCAATCACACTAGCTCCACTTTGGTGCTCAACAGGCACATGTGATAAATGTTGTTCTACACTGGACAGAACAGGCTCATCCTATAAAAATCATGTGCACCTATTCCTTATACTGAAAAGGATATAGTTTTGGTCTCTAAGTAACTCAATCTCCTCATGTTTACCTTGGGACTAACAATGCAAAGCACACATACACACCATTTCTAATCACCAACAACCAACTTATGAAGACAAATGTACACAGGTGCCCATTTCTGCCACAAAGCTTTCAGAGACTCCGTGGGCTCAAAAATTAAAAAAAGGAGAAGAAACTGAAAAGTAAAGACAGACTAGAGGAGCTGACCATGTGTGTTAGTCAGCTTTACATCACTGTCACCAAAAGACCTGATAAAAACAACTTAGAGGAGAAAAGTGATTTGGGCTCATGGTTTCCGAGGTTCAATCCAGAGTCAATCAGCTCCACCACACTGGGCCCAAGGTGAGGCAGTGGATCATGGCAGAAAGGCTAGGTAGAGGAAAGCTGGGAACAGAGAGAGAGAGAGAAGGAGGAGCCAGGAAGACAAGGTAGAACCCCCCAAAGGCATGCCCCAGTGACAAAGTTCCTCCAGCCACACCCTACTGCCCACAGCCACCAGGAGGTTAGTTCGTATAAATTATGAAACTATCAAATGTGTTAGCCCACTATTCAGGTGACAGGTCTCATAATCTAATCCTTTGACATCTGAACATTCCTGCATTACCACAGGTGGTTTTAGGAGACAACTCACTTAGAAACCATATCACCATGGAAGAGACTTAAGCAGTGTCACAGGCAATACTGGCTTACCCTAGGATTTTGTCCTAATCCAAAATAGTAATCCCTAAATTCCCCAAACTCAGAATGTCCCACCTCATTTTTATTTTATTTTATTTTGTGGTGCTGGGAATCGAACCCAGAACCTTATACAGGCTAGGCAAATACTCCATCACTGTGTTACACCTCCAGCCTACGCTACTTCATTTTTTTATGGTACTCTAGTTCTACTAATTTCAGAGTCTTCTGCTTCTCTTAAAAAATTCAAACATTTTAAAATACAAGACTGGTCATTCTTTTTTGTAATTGTTTTTAGATATACATGATGGTATGGTGTGTTTTGATATATCATACATACATGGAGTGCAACCCATTCCAATTTAGATCCCATTCTTGTGTTGTGGAGTTACACTGGTCATATATTCATATATGAGCATAGGACGGTTATGTCCAATTCATTCTACTGTCCATATAAATTATTAATTAATTCTACTGTCTTTCCTATTCCCATCCCCTCTCCCTTCCCTTCATTCCTCTTTTTCTAGTTCAATGAACTTCTATACTTCCCCTCACTATCTCCCTTGTTATGGGTTAGCATCTATATATCAGAGAGAATATTTGGCCTTTGGTTTCTTGGGACTGGCTTATTTCACTCAGCATGCTAGTTTCCAGTTTCATCCATTTACCAACAAATACCA